ATAAGGCAAGAAAAATAAAGAACATCCAAATTGGAAAGGAGGAAGCCAAACTATCCCTATTTGCAGATGACAGGATCATATACACAATAAAACCCTAAAGACTACACATAAAAATTACTAGAACTAATAAATGAATTTAGTATAGGAGCAGGATGCAAAATCAACACACAAAAATCAATAGTATTTTTATACACCAATAACAAAATAGCTGAAGAAATCAAGAAAGTGATTGCATTCACATTAGCTACCAAAAAATGAAATATCTAGCAGTAAAATTAACCAAGGAAGTGAAAGACTTCTACAATGAAAACTACAAAACAGTGATAAAAGAAGTTGAAGAGTTCACAAATAAATGGAAAGATATCCCAGCTTCCTGTATTGCTTTGCCTCCCACGGATTTGTCACCCCTTTTCCCCTGGGTGACAGAGCCACCAAAGATNTGGGAAGACTGGATGTCCACATGCAGAAGATTAAAACTAGACCCCATCTCTCACTGTACACAAAAATCAACTCAAAATGGATTAAAGACCTAAAATTAAGTCCTGGAACTATGAAACCTTTAGAAGAAAACATAAGAGAAATGCTACATGAAACGGGAGTGGGCAGCACTTTTATGAGTGAGATTGCAAAGCACAGGCAACTAAAAACTAGAAACCAATACACAAATGGGACTACACAAATGGGACTACATCAAACTGAAAAGTAGCAGAGCAAGGGACACTATGAGCAAAGTGAAGANCAGTAACTTTACATATCAATCAGTAACCTGTCTGTCTTTGAACCAGCAACCTTGTTGTGTTGTAATTCTTATCTTACAACACAGACTAAATAGTCTGGGTAAAATTTCCTGTTTTTCGTAAGGTCAATATTTGAAACTGCAAGGCTTTGGAAAACCAGGCCCTGTGATGTACATATGCTTTTTGCATAGTCCACATTCTTGTGCTGGAAGAACTAACATTATCAAAATGTGCATATTACCCAAAGCAAACTGTAGATTCAATGTAATCTCTATCAAAATACCAATGACATTCTTCACAGAAATAGAACAATCTTAAAATTTGTGTGGTACCGCAAGTGACCCCATATAGTTACAGCAATTTTGAACAAAAAGAACAAGTAGGAGGCATCACACTTCTTGACTTCAAAATATACTATAAAGCTATAGTGACAAAAACAGCATGATACTGTCATAAAAACAGGCAAATAAACCAATGGAACAGAATAGAGAGCTAAGAAATAAATCCATGCACTAACTGATTTTTGACAAGATGACAAGAATATATATTGGGAAAAGAATAGCCTCTTCAATATATGGTGCTGGGAAGACTGGATGTCCACATGCAGAAGATTAAAACTAGACCCCATCTCTCACTGTACAC